TCACTAGGGCAGCATCTAGGTTCTAGGCAAAATTTACTGGGCATGAAATCTGCGTAAGCACAGGACAGGACCACTGGTCTTTGTGCTCCATCCATGCTGACATCCACTGCAGTATCCGCATTTGCTCTGGATTCAGGTTGTGGGTATCCTTCCCTGTGAATACCAGCTGAGTTATATTATCAGGATGGGGTGCTGGTGGATGAGGGCAGGGAGCTGAGTGTGGGATTCCTCATTATCTCTTATCTCTCTCCAATCAATCCTAGGAAAAGTTACCTGGCTTCTTAGCTCGTCTCTCCCATAGCTATTGCTGAGCCCCTTTACTCCCTGATTCTTCCAGGGCTTTGCTCTTGATACTCAAAATCAAACTTTTAGTACTCAAAAATCTTGTATCTCTCCAAAATCCCAGTTACTGCAAATCGAAAGCCTGGGCATTCAAGATTGTTTTCTTTTCTCTTAGGTTCCAAACACTATTTTAAAATAGATGTGTTGAGTCCTAACTATTACTTTTTCTTGTCATCTCTGCTACAATACTTGCAGTGTTCCCCAAGACATGGGTGTCTCTATCAGAAAAAGAAGAGGTTTATGTACAAGGAATTATAAGACCTTATCCTAAGGGAAAGGTTGGATCTAAATCACATATCTTAGTTCTAAATCTGCCAAAATTACTGTTTGGGTGATTCATAAAATCGGAGTCAAAATATTTAAAATATGACCAATAAGTGTATCAGATATTAAAACAATTATGGAGGGAACTGATACTATGATAAGAAAAAAAAAAAAAACCTGAAATAAAAGCCTATGCACGTGTTAAATCTTCTGGTGAGTGTAACGGTGAGAAATTAATTCTGCTAACATAGAACAAGTTTTATAGATTCAGAAAGATGTCAGCTATATTAGTCTGCTACATGGTCCTCAGAAAAGAAAATCATTTGATTCCTCTCTGAAAAGTAGGACTTCTAGGCTAGGCTCTTTTTTTCTTTTGTAAATGGTTTCTGTTTGCAAACACCACCTGAATTAACTGTGTTAATGTTAGTAGAGCCAGTTTGATTCCTTATATCACCTAGTTGTTTTGTTGCTGTTGGTTGCATTCGAGTTGACTTTGACTCATGGTGATCTCATGGGTGCAGAGTAGAACTAGTCCATAGAGCTTTCCAGGCTGTGACCTTTCAAAAGCAGATCACCAGGCCTGTCTTCTGAGGCATCTCTGGGTGGGTTCAAACTATCAACCTTTTCGCGAGTAGCTGAGCGCTTATCCGTTGGAGCCACCCAGGAACTCTTAATATCGCCTAGTAGCTATTACTAAAAATGGCAACTGCTGTGTTTTTCAAAAATTGTTGAGATTTTGAATTGCCATCATGTCTAAGGCAGTTTCGGTAAAACAGGAAGATGGAGTTTATAGTCTGATGACTTGAGAAGGGAATTAAGGACAAAACCCGTACTTCTGTTGACCGTGCATACAAGCATAAGAGGTAAATGACTCACTAAAATGACTCACTTCACTTTCATGTAAACTTTGTAGCTGCAGCTCCTCTACTAGTGGGTTAAATATTTAAAGTCATCTTTAATTCAGGGCTTAGAACTGTAATTTTTTCCATTCCAGTTATTGCTCCAGTTTGCCAGATTTTTCAATATCCAGTTCTGTTCCCTTTCTCCATCATCGACCATGCTTGAACCAGTTCGAACTGGTTTGAATTTGTTTTTCACTCTCTGATCTCAAATTTAAAATCTGCAAATGGATAACCTGAAGCAATTTCATCTGAAGAAATATGGTTACCAAATTTGTTCCTTATTGCAAAGAATATTGCATTTTTATATTAACTCGAATTTTGGTTACCCAAGATTTTGTAATTAGTTCTGAAAGTAGCAATATTAAACTATTGCTTTCTACATATTCAGAAAAAATTAAATCTAAAGTGATCATAATGTTCAGTTTTAATCACTGCCTCGAAACATTTCAATACAAAGAAAAAAACGAGGTAACATAGATTTTTTTTTAATTTTATTTTTTAAAAATATACTAGAATTCACCGTAGCACTGAATCACTTTAAAAACAGTATTACTATAAAAGCACATAGGGTCACTATGAGTCAAACCAACCTGATGTCACCGAACAGCAACAACAACAAACTGTGTAAGGATTAAATTGAAGATTCAAAATACTTTTTTAGCAGGAAATTCTCAACTTAATCCTATAAAATACACTGAAAGCAAACTTAATTTTGATGGAGGCAACATTTCACTACTAATGCTTAATAGTCAAGTAAAATTGATAAGAATTTATTCAGGAAATACTGGAAATACAAAATGTGCTACCATACCTAATACATCGATCGGTAAAGGCAAAGTACAATAAAATATTTAATACTTTAATATTCACCCCAGTTCTAAGCTGAAGAATTGCCATAACATTACATAAAATAAACATTTGATTACAAATACAGATTTAATTCATACACAGTTATACAGTTCATTAAGAAAACATTACTGCAATAAACCATAATTATACCTAATTAAAAGAATGTCCTCTAACATTTTTTCTTTTCAGCTATCCCTGTTGTCTCGCAAGATGAATTTCAAACCTGGGAAAGCTCTTTCAACACTGACCTGAGTAGCTGGTGCACCCAGAACTACCATAGCAATTTCATAGAACTGGGAATATTGTGAATGATTTTCTTCCCGAAATTCAAGAATACTTTGTTTCTCTCAACTCTTTGTATACCATCAAAGCTGGTTAAGATAGAGTCAACGTTAACAGTACAGTTGTTTGATCTCGATTTAACTTTTTCTTTCATTTCTGAGAAATAATTCCATCTCATCAATACTGTCATTTGAAACCAGAGCATTTCCTGAATTGCTTTCCTTTGTTACGCTTTCAGTATTGCTCCTTTTCAGATAGTTCTATCATTAAATGTAATATAGCCTTCACCGTAAGTTCAGAACTAATTAGAATTTAATAATGAGGATCTAGATAAACTGCTCCTGATATGCTATCATTTTCAATGATAACTTTTTCCCTGACATTAAATTTTTTCAATCAATGTGCTTCCAAATGTATCATTACGAGTTCTTAATTTTACCCAAATTTCCACCCACGTACCAAAAACATTACTCATGGTTAATTGTTCACTTTGCAATCTTACTGTAACTTTCTTTAAAGATTTTAAAGTTTCCAAAATTCATCTGACATATACCTATTTGTCTTTAGAAAAGTAACATATTATTCTCAGCTAATACATCGAAGAGATTTTTGCATCCTAGTAAGTTTTCTGACATGGTATATATACTGCTCCATCTTATTGGGCAATCCAGTACAGCTTTCCTTAAATTATTTTCAGAAAATTTGGTAGATAATGTTGGAATACTAAGTATTTGAACGAGTTCACCATGTTCTTCTAAAAATCCTTGAAGTTCAGCATCCTTTATTGCATCTTTAATAACTAACCGAAGTGTGTGTGCAGCACACTTTATACCAGTCAATCTTTTCTTATAAGCCTTCTCGCTTTCAGCGCACTCTGCGATGGTTAATGTCTGCAAGTCAGAGTGCACTAAATCAGAGTCTTCAAAATTGTCATTTTGCCCTGACATTTGCCATTTGGTTTCATTATCATTTCTGAGCAAATCAACAAATTTAATCATATTGGAGCCATTATCCATGGTTACAGAATAAATCTGTTACAAATCAATGTTGTACTTCTCTAAAATTTGCTATACAGTGTTTCTTAGGTACAGACTTGTGTGTCTTTCTTTTAATTCCTTCATTCCCAGTGACAACAGATGTATCTTACTGTCTTGTGCAAACTGAGCAATCGAGCGTCAATTCCTAGAATTGACCAACTCAATACTGGCCACATCCTCTGTCAAAGCAAATATTCATTTTTCTAGATTACTACTAACTTTGGAGCTAAGTGTTAAGGACAAGCGAGGTATCATTTCCCTGATATTCTCTGAGTTGATTGACAAATTTTGACCAATTGAAGCAATAATTGGATTTAATATTTTACAGAATTCTGAATATTCAATTAACTCAAATGAACAACCATTAACAGTAACTAATTCAACACATACATCCACAACTCTTTGTTTATCTAATTTCACCTTAAGGCATTCTGGAAAGGCAAATTTGTCTAATGTCTTTTGTTGCTTATTTGGAACATTTCTGACCCTTTCTTCAATCTTCTCTGCCATCTTGTTTTGCACTGCATTGTACTCATATGCATGGTGATGCTTCAGGTGTCTCTGTAAATTCGCTGCATGGTCTCCAACCATATCTGTTGCAAATTTTACACGTGCATTTATTTTCAATCTTTTCACATTTGAAAAATTCTTGACATGGATTTTCTCTGGTTCATCCCATATTAGAATTCAAGAGATAAGAAATAATATTAACATTAGGGCAAATTTTATAGTCATTATATTACATGATAGTAAAAACAAGTCTTAGACTTTGATAACATAAAGAGAACAGACTGCATAAATACATTTGTAGAAATGAATTAGAGCCAGTATGTATTAAAATGCTTCTAGTCACATATCGTCAGTATATCAGAAAAACTAGAATAACTTTGATTTTACATTCACAGGGCTTGCTGATTTCTCCCATTTGAAGTCCTACTTTACAACATTCTCCTATATTTATCCAGTACCTTTTGAAGAAAAATCTCACTTCATATTGATGCCATCAAGTTGTTTTCAGTGAAATAACCATATATTGCAATTGAAACATTAATTTTTTTCCTACTCGTTGCTGATGTTTGTTAACATTTCTATTTGGGAGAAATATCAAATTTAAACATATAAGTACGAACAAGGTATGATAATATATTTAAATCGAGATTGAATACGGGAATGAAATCATTAAAAAAATTATGTTATTTTCTATTTTTTGAATTTAAATATCACACTTACAAATGTGACTAATACATGTTTAAAAAGTTTACTCACCTGACAAATTTCCATTCAAATGAAATTCTGTTCAGAACTCCATGCAGTTTAACTAGCTCTTTCAGATTTCTGACTACGAGTGTTCTCAATCGTGGAACATTTGTTACGTCTTCCACACAGCTCTCCTTACTGTGAAAGATGTTAAGCACGGAGAGGAAGCAGTGAGATTTAACTGGCTTGTGAACTGTCTTGCGTCATCACCTATACCTATGGCTGTGCAATGTCACTTGCTGAAGCAATGAACTGTGTCCTTACCAGCCATGTGCCAGAGAAGTATTCAGCATACACGGGCGCCAAATGCAGATCAAACATAAATGGTCCAATGGTCTTCCTTACAACTTAAAAATTATCATTGAACCAAAAATAGAGGAGCAAAAAAATAATGGTTTTCTATTTCGGTTCAGGTTCAGAAAAACATTTGTTTTGTTTTGTATTACGGGGGAAGAGCTCGATTTCACTCTGGCGAAAATTTTGGGTTTTTTTGTGGTTTCGGTTTTTGGCTTGTTCTGGTTCAAAGCTGTGCTTTAATTATAGACTAAGACAGGATATCAAAACTTAAATGCTTTCAGCCTGCTGCATAAAGGCATTAAGTGCTTATTTCCAAAAATAACGTTAATTGCTTCAGTGAGACATGGATCTGGCAGTAGATCCCTTCAGAACAAATACTGCATGGATCAAATCATCTAATTAGTTTAAACAAGCTATAAATGTGTTTTAATGGTCCAAAACTATAAAACTGTTGGAAGCATTTCATAACTTTGGGGAAGATTAAGTTGCTATGCTTATTATTTTTTGCTATTAGTAATAGTATTTTTTAGGCTTTTAAAAACAGCATTTTATATTTGAACCAGAGCATCTTTTCTTTCCAAGCAAAGCCAGCCACGAGAGCATTTTGTATATAGGGTGCATGGGACACAGCCCCTTCTTTGTGACATACACACACACACATATATATAAATATATACAAACATACAACATATTTCTTTAAAAAATAATCCTCACACAGGAACACACTGGACCATATTTCCTTTGAAACAAATAATTAACTAATAAGAGGATGTTAAGGAAATCAAACAGAGACCATCTGTTTGTTCTCTGTAAGTGAGGACAAAATACCAGAACGGTCTCTTCCAAACAAGGAGGCTCCAGGTTGAAATTTTAAGTGATACTTGGCGTCTGTTTATGAAAAGGGAAGCAGAGATATACAAAGGTGGTGTTGCTTCTTCAGGGAGCAAACATTTGTGGTTGGGCACACCCACCTCTCTCTTCCCTGTTGCTTTTTACAGGCTGGGAGAGGTGGCAAGGCAGGGAGCGCACCTGCCCAGGCCCGGGTTAGCATCAGGTCTGCTTTCCTCTTACTTGCTCTGGCCCTCGGCGCAGTGGACATGACCAGGGAAGGCAAGCAGTGTGTGGACTTCTGCAGGGCTCTTCTGGATTACCTCTAGGTGGTTGGTCAAAGAAGCAGCGTTTCCAGAAGGTGTTTTTTTTTTTTTTTTGACAAACGAAAAAAAAAAAAAATTTAAATCTGCTACCTCTGTGTCATGGTGCATAGCAGGGAGGTAAAAATGGCGTGGTGAGGACGTCTGACCTCCTATAACTTCACAAGGGAGAGAGAGAATCACCATCAGCATCAGCCCAAACCTGATTCCTATGTGATGGAGGTCAGACATTCCTCCTCTCTCCAACCTTTTACCAATTCAGCCACCAGCCGTCCCTCCCACGGCACTCTCTACTTCTCTGTTGGGTTTGACAGTTCATTGCAATGGCCACTCAGAACTCACAACCTGTACTTAAAGTTATGGGGTTTATTAGGGGAGTAACAGATTACAGTTCAGGATACAGTTCTTTGGTCAAGACTGCCTCTTCTCAAGCTATGCCCACAGACAGGCCTGTCTCTGGCCCTTGGCCCCTCAGCCTCTCCTCTGCCCTGCTCAGATAACTGTTACAGAGCTCTTCAGCTCTGCCAGTAAGTGCCCAGAGGCACCCCACTCTGCCAGGAAGTCTCAGCCCGAAGGCGCTCAGCTTTCTAGCTCCGTGAGTCAGGAAACCTAGCTAGCTCTACTGACAAGTGCCTGGAGGCATCCCAGTCCACCAGCAAGCCTACTGTCCAAAGGTGCTCAGCTTTCTCTCTCTGTGGCCAGAAAGCCCACCATGTCATCTCCTGCTGGTTTCCTGGTTCTGCTGCATCTGCTGTCTCTGTTTCTCTGCCACTAATTCTCATCATCTCTCAATGTCTCCAGTATTACAGCTCTATCTGTCTCCTGGGTCTAGGAGGTTCTCAGCACAGGGATCCTGGGTCCAAAGGATGTACTTCACTCCTAACTCTTCTTTCTTGGTAGTAGTGAAGTCCCTGTCTGCTTTGAGACTGGCACTCTTTTAAGCTAGTAGGGTGGCAAAACTGACCAATTTCCTCATTAGGGTTCCATACACCATATTTGCATGGTCTCATCCCCACAAGGGTGCCATCCACCTTATTTGCATTATTAACAAGCTATCTAATCCCCTTGCTGGGCCACAAGCACCATTTGCACAGTCCCTTCCAGTCATTTGGTGACAGTTACAAGACCACAGTGAGAAAGGCCGTGGAAAAGTGATCCATTGCACTGCAGGCCAACCCCTGGCTTTTCTAGCCGTAGTTCTTTCATACTTGGAGGATAACTTCCCCCTCCCAATCATTTTACCAGTTCAAGATAGTCATTAACAATTAGTCCTCAGGGTAAGGTTACACAAGTACCAGCCATTCAGGTCTGCTGCAGGTCTATCTGATCTACTTCAGTTCTCCAAAAGTCGTCTCTTCTTCACCCTTTCTGGCCTCTGATTTAACTGAGACAAGATGATTCCCTTCCTCTGAGCCTCTCTCAAGGTATCACCAGAGCAAAACTTTTATGGGACTTTAGACTCAGCCACCATACTCCAGTCCATCAGTGCCTCCCCCTTAGTCCACTCCTTTGCAGTTATTGCTTCTACAGTTGCAGTTTTTACAATCACAATTAACCCTGTTAACAGTCACTACTCACAACTGAATCATATAATCCTATTAGCATCTTCTCCACCCTCTCTTTCCCAGACCCGTTGGGAAAAGAGGAAATTATTCAGTGGCAATCCTCCCTTGTACCCCTCATTTTGAGTCTAAGCACACCAATGAAAACATATAAGCCAGCCTCTTCAAGCCTTTATCTCCTTCCATTTTAGATAGCCAATGCTTAAATCACCCATCCGTATCAAACCAGGACTCAGGTGACAAGCGTGTTCCTCCATCTGAAGAATCTTTCTTATTCATTGTTCAGCCTTTGCATGTATATGAGACTATTGAAAATACCATGCCTTAGGTCAGGCGTATCTTAGTCCTTAAAGTGTCATATTTGTTTTGAACACTTTTTAAAAGGGGTCTTTTGCAGCAGATTTTCCTGATGCAATGTGTCTTTTGATTTTTTGACCGCTGCTTCCATGGGCATTGATTGTGAATCCAAATAAAATGAAATCCTTGACAACTTCAATCTTTTCTCTACTTATCATGATATTGCTTATTGGTCCAGTTGTGAGGAATTTTGTTTTCTTACATGTTGAGGTGCAATCCATACTGAAGGTGGTAGTCTTTGATCTTCACCAGTAATGCTAAAGTCCTCTTCACTTTCAGCAAGCAAGTTTAGGTCATCTACATATTGTCAATGAGTCTTCCTCCAGTCCTGATGCCTCATTCTTCTTCATATAGTCCAGCTTCTCGGATTATTTGCTCAGCATACAGACTGAATAAATATGGTGAAAGGATACTACCCTGACACACACTTTTCTTGATTTTAAACCACATAGTACCCCCTTGTTCTGTTCGAACGACTGCCTATTGGTCTCTGTACAGGTTCCACATGAGCACAGTTAAGTGTTCTGGAATTTCCATTTGCAATGTTATCCGTAAGTTGTTATGATCTACACAGATGAATGTGTTTGCGTAGTCAAAAAAACACAGGTAAACATTTTTCTGGTCTTCTCTGTTTTCAGCCAAGATGCATCTGATATCATCAATGATATCCTTCATTCCATGTCCTCTCTGAATCCCGTCTGAAGGTCTGGTAGTTCCTTGTCAACATACTACTGCAACAGGTTCTGAATTATCTTCAGCTAAATTTTACTTGTGTGTGATATTAATGATATTGTTGGATAATTTCCACGTTCTGTTGTATCAGCTTTCTTTGAAATGGGTATAAATATGGATCTCTTCCAGTCAGTTGGCCAGGCAGCTGTCCTCCAAATTTCTTGACATAGACGAGTGATCACCTCCAGTGCAGCAACCATTTGTTGAAACATCTCAGTTGGTATTCGGTCAATTCCTGGAGCCTTGTTTTTCGCCAATGCCTTCAGTGCACCTTGGACTTTTTCCTTCAATACCATTGATTCTTGATCACATGCTACCCCTTGAAATGGTTGAATGTAGACCAGTTCTTTTTGGTACAGTGACTGTATTCCTTCCATCTTCTTTTGATGCTTTCTGCGTCATTCAATAATTTGCCCATAAAATCCTTCAATATTGCACCTCGAGAACTGAATTTTTTGTTCAGTTCTTTCAGCTTGAAAAATGCCAAGTGTGTTCTTTCTGTTTGGTTTTCTAACTCCAGGTCTTTGCACGTTCCATTATGATACTTTACTTTGTCTTCTCCAGCCACCCTTTGAAATCTTCTATTTACCCCTTTTATGTGATCCTTTCTTTGGTGCACATTAGCTACTATACATTCAAGGGCAAGTTTCAGAGTCTCTTCTGACATCCATTTTGGTCTTCTCTTTCTTTCCTGTCTTTTTAATGACCTTTTTCTTTCTTCATGTATGATGTTCTTGATGTCATCTCACAACTCATCAGGTCTTTGAGCGTTAGTGTTCAATGCATCAAATCTATTCTTGGATGGTCTCTAAATTCAAGTGGGATATGCTTAAGGTTGTGCTTTGACTCTCATAGACTTATTTTAATTTTCTTCAGCTTCAACCTGAACCTGCTTAAGAGCAATTGATGGTCTGTTCTGCAATTGGCCCCTGACCTTATTCTGATTGACAATATTGAGCTTCTCCGTCATCTTTCCACAGATACAGTCAATTTGATGCCTGTGTATTTCATCTGGTGAGCTCCACGTGTACGTTTGCCA